CGGCAAAAGCTCCCTTTTCTGGTAATCCTTTCCTGTAAGCGAGCACCACCTTGGAGCTCCCAACATGTGCTAGAAACATCCCTCTCATCGGGGAACCGGAAACCTCATCAACCGCTCCCGTGAGCAGGAGAACGAGTGACACGCTAATATCTATCAGAAACGACTGGGAAAATTCTCAAAGCTTGCCCCTGACTTTCGCAATCTTCTGCTTGCTCCAGTGCTTCCCGGAGTATTCCTTCAGGCGACTCACGTACTGCAGTGGCAGGCTCAGAGTTGAATACACCTACGACCGCTGCAAGTGAGCGTCAAGATTGTCATCTCTGCCTGACCGATGATCTTGCTCATGACCAACTGCACCTCGGAGCTCTTCAACCCTCCGTCAACCAGCCCAAGTAGGACTGTGTTGTCCGTCGCCGGACTCCGACAAACGAACACAGATGTTTTCTCGGGTGTAGGGCAAGACACCGCAATACCGTTTCTGAAGTGACGTGTTTACGCCGCGTGGGTGGTGATACCATGCCCGGACCTCTCGAGCCACTGAGTCGAATATGACAAGTCGACTAACACGAGGCTCGCGTCTTCTTCTGCCAGACTCGCCGCTCCCGCCTCTCCCGAGAGACTCGCTGTAGTTGACGCTAAGAGATTCTCTGCATTTTCGACCTATAGGAAAGTCAAAGTCTGTCAGCGAGAGCTTCCCCATATCGAGATGAATGCGCATTCGACTATATAGTCACGTCGCGGATAGCCGACCTGTTCCATGAGCATTTGATGAACATCTCCGCCTTGCGTTCGAAACCGATCGACGATCCTCGGTGCTGATGGTCTTGAACGAGACTAAACGAGCCATTTGGACCTCGAAAATGGCGATGGAGCCTCACTCGCGCCATGTGCTCGGCGTGATCGATCTGATGTATTTTCTGACGCAATGTGCGGAGCTCCTTCTCGAGCAATAGGTTGCGTGATCTCATTTGACGGAGTTCCTCATGACTGGATGACTACGAGGGAGAATTCTGATCGCTCAGCGGCATCTACTGGCCCTCACCAACTCCTTAGAGAGTTTATCGTTGCGGTTTTTGAGCTCCGCTATCTGCTTCTGTTGATTCAAAGAGGTCCTCACAGATGCACCCACAGATACTGAATGAGAATGCTGAACCATTAAGCATCAAAGCACTAGTCTAAGACACATACTATGTCGAACATTGTCATTGAAAAACTCCCTCACATTCAAGATCGCAATCCAAACTGACTTCACAATACGTAGCCGAGAGATACCTCTATTGGCAACTCTAGGTGATTGCTCCCGACTTCTGGCAATGTTAGGCTTCGATGGCGACGCGGGACAGCTGCATTTCTTGGAACGAGGTGAATGAGAAGTCAGGGATGCCACCGAACTGAGGAATCGATATTGCATCTATTAATGTATCATAACAAACCCAGGCACTGACTCTGCACTCTGGTGGTCACCGCGTTGTAAGCTCTGTAGTAATGCAGTTCTAGCACTCTTCTCGGCCACATGACGAATCCGTCGGAACTATAACACCATCAATGTATATAATTCGTCGATAAATCCACACACCAAATCATCATCCATCCTCGGAGGCCTTGTTACTCGGTTCTCCGGCTTCTCAGCAGTGGCATCGGCCTCCGGGACCTACCTCGTCAAATTGAGATGACATCACCACACACGCAGAGAGAAGAAGTCGCTCGCTCTCTTTTTTGCGATTGTGATGTTGATGACTTGGCCTGCCTTCAGCTCCGGTGATTTGGTCTCAACCTTCGGAGACCTTTTCGGGTCGGCGTTCGAGTCACTCTGCGAGACCGGCACGGGTTGACTTATCTGTGCAGGGCTCATCGGGAAGAAT